TCTTTCTCTAATGCATAATTAATGCATATGGATGATTCATGCTCATTAATGCACTCATGAAATGCAATTATGCCATGTAGCAATAATTAAGGTTCTTTACCCTTACTCATGCCTTTCTCAAGCATTTCATCATACAACTCATGTGCATATAACACTTTACTTTAACTATAACTATTCTCCTTTCTTTAATCATCCAAAAATGGGAGAAAACTCCCTCATACTCTCTAAATTCCTACCAAATAAACTCACTCCAATAAGGTTTGCTCAAAACTCTCTTCAACTTCTATCAACCCAACTCAACATTATAGAAGTTCAACACTTCTCATACTCAACCATATTCAATAATCATACATGACTACTAATCTCATCTCATCTCATCTCATCTCAACAAACATAATCAATACCCATACATACACAATCTCTACTCAAATGAAGTCTTAAATCTCAACTTAGGTTGGATTTACTTACCTTGTTCCTTCTCTACAACTTCAAACCATAAAACTATAAGATTTCAAGATACAAATATAAGAAAATTTATAGCTAAAGCAAGAATCCTTACCTTATGATACTTTAGATGAAATCTCTACTAAAAGTTATCCAAAAACTCCCTAAAACTCCTTAGAAATCTTGGAAGATTGAATGGAAGATTGAGAAAAATTAGAGAATGGGTATGGTGGTGGAAATGGGTGAAATGAAGGATTTTCTACACTTAACCCATTTTTAGCTCATATTATAACCATCATTTCCCATTTTTCCCTTGCTCTTCCTTGGAAATTCCATCTATATCCTTTGATTCTTTGCAAATACCCTCATCTCCAACACATTGTCTACTAAATTTCCTTACATTTTACTCCCCACTTTTCCTACTAATTAGGGGTAGAAAGGTCATTTTACCCCTATGAAGAATTCTCTAGAAACGTCAAGAAACTTTTCTTTTCTTTTCTTTTTTCTACCGTCCCGTCACCACGGCGAAGCAATTTCGTCACCCCGACGAAAACCTATAGAGCCGACACCGCCATTACAAAGCCAACATCGCCGCGGCGAAGAGTATTCTTCGCCCCGGTGAAAACTGTTCTTCCAAAATTCCTCAATTCTCAACCAATTTCAAGGCAAACACTCAACATACCTTTTCAATTAAAGAAACCATGACAACATACAAACTCAATCGAAGCTGAATCAATGAACATTTAAGTCATACAACAAATCTTAAGTACATACCTCAAGTGGGGCGTTAAATGGATGTCATAACTGCTTTCCTAAATGGAAACCTTGAAGAATATATGTATATGGCACAACCAAATGGTTTCATTCTTGATGGACAAGCTAATCACTATGAGATTTGGCAAATGAATGTCATAGCTGCTTTCCTGAATGAAAACCTTGAAGAGGATGTGTATATGACACAACCCAATGGTTTCATTCTTGATGGAAAGGCTAATAAATATGCAAAATGAAGAGGTCCATATATGGACTTAAGCAAGCTTCAAGGAACTAGAACATTCGTTTTGATGAAGCCGTAAAAGAATTCGGTTTTATCAAGAACGAAAATGAGGCCCATGTTTACAAGAAGGTAAGTGGAAGCGCAGTGGCATTCCTAGTGTTGTATGTCGATGACATACTTCTGATCGGGAATGACATACCGAACTTATAGCCAGTAAAGACTTGGTTATCCAAGTGCTTCTCCATGAAAGACTTAGGAGAAACAGTATACATTCTTTGAATGAAGGTCTATCGTGATAGATCAGGTAGTTGCTTAAACTAAGTCATAGTACATGGACAAGGTACTGAACATATTCAGTATGGAAGAATCCAAGAAGGGATTTCTTCTGTAGCACGTGGTGTCTATCTTTGTAAGGATATGTATCCTTAACCACACGATGAGAGAGATAGAATGAAGAGGATCCCATATGCTTCAGCTAGTGGATCCACCTTGTATGCTCAGATTAATATCTAATGTGCATCAAGAACTTGTAGTGGATATCAATCAGACTCAAGTAAGCAATTCCATGTTGTATGCTTGGATTGATATCTCGTGTGCACCAAGCACTTGTAGGGGATATCAATCGGATCCAAGTGAGCGATGTTGTGATTGCATGCTTGGAATGATATCTTATATGCATTAAGCACTTGTAGAAGATATCAATATGTTATGTACTTAGATTGATGTCTTATGTGCATTTAGTACTAGTAGAAGATATCAATCAGATCCAAGTGAGTGACACTGGATGAGTGTCAATGGACATCCTTAAGTACTTGAAAAGGCTTAAGCATATGTTCTTGGATTATGGAGGGGAAGATGAGCACATTGTATAAGGATAATGTGATGCTATTTTAAAACGGATAAAGATGATTATCGTTCACAATTTGGGATTGTATATTTTGCCTCAATGTAGCTGTAGTGAGTTGGAAGAGCTCAAATCGGTGTATTGCAGTGGATTCTACAATTGATGCTAAGTATATATGCATTTCAACCGTGTAGGTGGTTTGGATCAAGAAGTTCATTACTAAACTTGATGTGGTTCCAAGCGTTGCTGATTCAGTAAAGTTCTACTGTGATAACAATAGAGCCATTGTTATGGCTGAGGAATCACAGTCTCACTAGTAATCCAAACACATACTTAGTTGATTCAATCTGATCTAAGAGATCAATTAGAAAGGGAATGTGCAGATTTGCAAAATACCTACTAACCCACTATTGAAGTTTCTACTGTAGCAGAAGCATGATGGGCACTTAGGTCATTCAATGTTAAGTGCATGAATGATTGGCTACAGTGCAAGTGGGAGATTGTTGGAGTAGGTGCCTTAGAGCCAATCAATTATTGTGGAATTGACTCTTTGTAATAATGTTTATTAATCAATAAAAGGCATTATCTTCTATATCATGTAAACCATAGTTGTATGTATTGATATATGTCCTTAGAATGGCAGAATCGTGACAAGGGTATCAAGTGTTTCAAATCTTGATAGTGAGAACCTTATGAGCACATATGGTGGCCATTCTAGAAATGTCCGTAGCCCCAGTATTATTCTAAAGTAAGGGCACAGATACTACAGTAAGGCCATCATAGTGTTGAATGACCCTATTGAAAGCAGTGACTGATCTCACTTGTCAAGGTTGTTTGGTGACTACCTGGTGCAACACATGGGTGCTTGCTGTAGGCAAGTTCATTGGACTGACCCACCAGAGGATTCCATATGGATGGTAACCCTAGTGTCTATTGAATAAATCCTCTAACGAATAGTAGTGCATGTGATCCTTAGACTTGAGATCACCAGAGCGTCTTGTGCATCGATTGGTGTAGTTTGACACTAGCCCAATGCAGTTCTATTCAGAACTGTCAATATGGTAGTGATTGGCTGCATCGAGGAGTGTATCAAGACTATGGTGGATTGACATAAGATTCATCACTCCCGGGTACGGGAGAAGTTATCTCACAGCGCAATTCAGTTAATGACAATGACAGTAAATCCGTGATCACGGTGGGATTGAGTTGTTGCTCAATCAAATTCATTATTCCGGTCATTGGTCTGATAACTTAATACAAATATATCGAGAGTAATTGAGGTTGACACTATTTCTGTGCCACAGTCTCAATGAGATAACAGATAATGAAAGGATTTGATTTACGGTAACCATATCGTTGACAGGTAGCTACTTCGCTAATTCCGAATCTATCAGGTGGCCATGATGTCTTGCTAGGGGCCAATCTTGGTCTGTGTGTAGTGAGATGATTAATTGGTGTTGATCGCGCTATTACACATTGCCGGTATGATGAGGAGCCTATGGGTCACACACATAGAAGATAATTTAAGAATCAGTTTGTGAGAAGGGCGTTTTCATATTTTTACGTGAAAGGGTATTTTGGTAATCTCACAATGCAATTAAATTTGTTAAGGTTGGTGCCTTTATTTAATTTGATATTAAAATTAAATAAGTGGTGTATGCATATATTTAAAAGAATTATTGTTATTGTTAAATGTTAATATATTTTATATATATTAATTGAAATAATAGTAATGAAAATTAAAATATCTAAATGGGGTTGTTTGGACACAGGGGTTGTTTGGGTTGGTGCCTAAGCCTATTCCTAAGTGGAATAAGGTTTCACATGCTTTATATAAGTGCATGTGTTCTATGAATTAAATAACACTTTTCATTTTAAGTCATTTGATATCATATTCATTGAAAAGCTCCAGCCCACTCTCTACGGCATGCCACTTTGCTTTGTATGAATCAAATTCATTTGATTCTTGTTCTTGATTCTTGAGGCTGAGGATCTAGCAAATCCCTCTTTAGCTCTTTGGGTTATCTTGGTCTGGACTACCTCTGGTTCAATTCTACTTTGAATTGGTAGGTAACCCAGTTAGAGACAAGTTTGAAGGAGCCTCCAAACGTGTGTATGAACACTTATCTTTACTCTGATTGTTCATATTACTGCAGAATATTTGATTTAACATATTATCTGTAATATCTATATCCTAATCTTGGCTTAAAATGGAATTGATCACTGTTTTATTTTTGTTTTTCCGCTGCCATGGGTTAGATCGTTTCCTAATAGGAAAGACATCCATAAAACTTAGGAGTTCGTGACCTGCTATCGCATCGACCATCATGTTGCTATGTGGGAGTCAGAAGGAGTCCTTAGAGCATGTCTTGCTCAAATCTGTGAAGTCTATGCAAACCCTCAATTTTCCATTTTTTTTCTTCAGGACCACTACATTTGCTAGCTAGTCAGGGTAGTGGACTTCTCTGATCAGTCTGTTACTTAGTAGTTTGTCAATTTCTTCATTGATGACCCAGTTGCATTCTAGGGTGAACTTCCTTCACCTTTGCTTCACTAGAGGGTGATCCGGATCCACGTGAAGGTGGTAGATGAAATCCTCAAGGCTGACTCCCGTCATGTCTATGTGGGACCAGGCAAAGCAGTCCTGATTTTGTTTGAGGAAGTCTATAAGTCATTCTCTTATCTCGGGCTTAAGGTGAGAGCTTATCTGGTCTTTCAGTTGGGGTGGTTTGAATATATCTGCACTTCATCCAACTCTTCCATGGATGGTTGATCTCGTTCGGTCGGAAGGGTTGGATGGGATTGTAGTTGTTGTGAAGCATGACCTTTGCCTTTGAAGGTGTTTTTGTAGCAGTCTCTAGAGGCCTTAGGATCACCTTTGATTTCTCTTACTCCCCATTTTGTTGGAAACCTGATAGTTTGATGGAAGGTGGATAGGACAGCTAGCATTTCATGGATACAGGGTTGACCCAAAATGACGTTGTACGGTGAGGGGCAATCAAGCACTAGGAAGATGGTTTGCTTGTTGACTTCACTAGCATAGACAAACAAGGCGATTTCACCGATGGTGTACTTCTGCTCAAAACTGAACCCGACTAGGATGGTTGGTCGTCTACTGATGTTTGATTCATCAAGTCCCATGGCCTTCATTGCTTTAAGGAAGAGGATGTTTGTCGAGGACCCCTCGTCTACGAATACTCTCTTGACTAGGATGTTGGCAATCTGGAGGGAGATGACCAGAGCATCGTGATGAGGAGCGGCTAAGGTGGTCATCTTAAAACTAAATGATCTGGTTGGTTTGTGCTCGGGGGGATGGATGAATGGACCAGACTTCTAGGTGATGGTTGGCTCGGGTGTAGCGCTTGGCTGAGGAATAACTCAGCCCATTGATTTCTGACCCTCCAGAGATAATGGAGCAAAACCCTTTTGGTGTTGGTTCTTGTGAAGGGGGAGATGTTTCTTTCGAGCTTCTCTGGCCAACTGTATTCTTCCTTTTATTTGTTAACATGTCCTGGAGGTGTCCCCTCTTCAATAGTGCTGCAACTTCCAATCTTAGGGTGATGCAATCAACGGTGTTATGACCATGGTCGCCGTGGAATTCATACCAATCTGCGGTGTTATCACTACTCTAGCTAGGGCATTTTCCATTGTGGTGCAGTCGAGCTTTATCAGGTCTTTGTATAGTTCTCCATCTAAAAGGAGACATTTTCTGAAAGCATCTATTGCTGTCTCTGGATTATAGGATGGGATAGAGATTTTTTCTTTATTGAATCTACTAACGTACTCTCTCAGTGGCTGCCCCCCTCTTTTGGTAGACTCTGTATGGGTCAGCTGACAGCTTCTCGAGTTTCTTGCTATTGGCAAATTATTCAACGAAGGTGTCGGTGAGTTAGGCGAATGAGCTGATTGAGTTGTTTGGAAGGTTAGTGTACCATTGAAGGTCTGGTTCGAAGAGGCTTGAGCCAAAGCTCTTACACATGCAGGCTTCCCTCAATGTTTGGGGTATCGAGGTGGCGAACATCCGTTGCTTGTATGAGGCTATGTGGTCATCAGGTCGGTTGTGCCACCGTAAGGCTTTATGTTAGGGATGGTGAATTTGTGTGGCATCTCGGTTAGCACAATTGCATCCACAAACGGTGAATCCATCTTGAACTCCACCAAGTCCAACCTCCAAAGCCTCGATCCTCTCTTTGTTGGACACCATTGTAACAATGCTCTGGTACCAATAATTGGTCCTGATCAGGCAACATGATTAATTCAGTGAAATATTTGCTTTCTTTAGGTGAAAGACAAACCACAATTGTTTTGTAGGATAATCTGCCTTTTTTATTCATTGCCAACGATCTAATAAATAGAGTAAAGCTTAACAAACTAGCCTAAACTCAAGGGAATAGGTTGTAACAAATCTGAACGTGCAAGAATTCAAGGGAATAGGTTGTAACAAATTTGAACGTGCAGGAATTCAAGGGAGTAGGTTGTAACAAATTTGGACGTGCAGGAGTTCAAAACAAACACAGAAAATAAATTAAAAAGACTAACGTCTCTTTGCTTAGACTTGGTCGAACTCAAGCTAAAAACTTGGGATTCTTCTTAGGGACTCTTTCTGACCTTCTCGGTCTATCATTCTTTTTCTTATTATTATTCTTTCCATATTTTCCCAACTCTCGCTTAGCTTTTCTTGTAAGTGCCAAAGATTCAGTACTTTCCCTTTTCTTCAACACTGTCTCTGATAAATATGCCAAGGGCTTTGCCTCCTCTTCTGCCATCTCTATTCCTACCGGCAGAGGCGTACAAATTGGTGGCGGGTTAAGGCTTTGAATGGAGTTAGAGACCTTGAAGTAGGGTTTTGTTTTGTTTTTGATAGCATGTTGCAACGGCCATGGACCGGGTTTATATTGGGTGCAAATTGGATCTTATCTATTTTTCTTTAACTATTTTTGTAATTCTCCTAAATTGCCTCCAAATTTTTTTCCCCTCCAACAATTTCATCTCTTGCAAAACACTAAGAACAGTTATTGAAATGCCTCCAAAATTTTTCACCGTCCAACAATTTCTTCTCTTACAAAACACTAAAAACAATTATTGTATTTTTATTGGATTAGAATATATTCTAATATGCTAAAGTGAGTTTTTTTTTTCTTTTCTTTTTTCAAATTAAGAGTAAACTGTGTGCATTAAGAACAATTATTGAAATTTCCTCCAAAAATTTTCACCCTCCAACAATTTCATCTCTTACAAAACACTAAAAACAATTATTGTATTTTTATTGGATTATAATATATTCTAATATACTAAAGTGAGTTTTTTTTTCTTTTCTTTTTTCAAATTAAGAGTAAACTGTATGCATAGATCATTGGTGGAGCTGCTAAATATAAAAACCCATTTTTTAAAAAATGCAGATTGTGGCATTCAGGCTAATGCACTCTTCTCTCTAGTATTCCACTTAACACCCCAGGCAAACCTGCTGATTTGTATTTTTCTTCCTTACTAATTATGTATATTTACTTTTTGTGCAAAGATTAGAAGTGTACGAATTCTTCCTGATATTTCTCTACCCCAGTCAACAATCCCATCAGCCAACTTACAAGCCTCCTTGATGCCAACTGCTTTGCACAAAGCATTGATCATATCTTCAAAAACTGTTTCAGGAATAACACCCATTGGAGCCAGATCATCCAAAATCCTACAACCGTATCTTCAAAAGCCTCATCAATCTTTCCTCACTTAGCAAGGGCATCAATAAGTGCATTGTAGCAATGTGAAGCCCGTGGGCATCCCTTCTCAACCATCTCTTCGAAGAATTCCTCAGCTTCATCCACTCTCCCTGCCTTCCCCAGACCATCAATGAGATTAGAATAAAACATAGCATTAACCGCTGTACCATTACCTCTACAGAACTCAAAATACTCCATGGCCTCCTCCAATCGCCCATTCTTACACAAACCAATTCAATTTTTCCCCATTTAGTTTTACAAAGAAATGAAGAGACCAAAGGTGGCTCACTTCACCCAAATCAAATTTTCCCTTTTTCTTTGTAACACCGAAGAAAATTAGGAGAATCAAAGGAGAGTTCATAAGGAAATTCCCTTATTTCCTTTTTCCCTTTTCCGCCCAATTCAAATTTTCCCTTTTTGGCCCAAACTCTAACCCTGACATTAGCTACAAAGTCACGGCAAAAAATTTAGAAGAATTAAAGGGGAGTTCAAACAGAAATCAAGAAAAGAAGCAGAGGAGAAAAAGAAGAGCTAGAAGGTGAAGAAAACCAAAAAAGCAGCTCCAGATCTTGGATTTCGGGTTCTTTGGGCTAGAAATCAGTAAGTTATTTATCTTATTATTCTTGCTCATATAGGTTGTTTGATTTTTAATTTATGCGATCCTGGATCATGGATTATATTACTTTTAATTTGATTTTAATTTGTTTTAGATGGCTGTATCAAACAAGAAATTTTGTCCTTTGCATTTATTAAATTTTACAAAATGTAACAGCATGAATGATTGAAAGTATTAAGTAATTGAACCTATTCTTTGTTATAGTTGATCTCATCTTTTTTAAATATTGAATGATTTATTTCCTAATTATATATTGTTATTTATATTTTACATAAAAAAGAAAAGAAAAGAAAAAAAAAGACCTTTGAAGTTAAAACCATTAGAAGAAACAAGGGGCATGAAAAGGATTAATCTGAATTTGATCATAAGGAGTGATGTTGTCTTTGGGTTTTCTATTGTACTTTTAAACTTAGATCTTTGTGCCTATGAATATCTTCCCCTGAAGACTAATTGCTGTTTAGTCATTAATTAAGTAGTCTGTATTAGGGTTTAAGCTTGGTTTTTGTGGTATGAGTTTGTTTTACTCAATTGTGTTTCTTTGGTTCATCATTTAATTTATTTTTGGTTAATTTAATCAACTAAACCATTGATCATTTATATACCATTAAATTAGAAGTGTTTTTTTAAGATATTGATTTTTATGTATAAGGCATTTGTGTTAATGTGTTAGTGAATAATGCTTAAAACCAGAAATTTCCAGCATTTTTACTTTTGGATGTTTTGGGCTGTTTTCGGGTTTTTGATCGACTTAGAGTTTCAATTTGAGTTCAGAGCCCTCTGTGAATTTAAAGTAGACATCTCAAGCTTTTTAGAAAGGTTTGGTTCGTCAAATTTCGAGTTTTTCTGGGCTTCCAAATGTTGGTGCAAAGTGAGAGCTGAAAGCTGCAATCGAATCCTAATTCTCCTTTGTTGTTGATACTTGACATTCAGTTTGCTCTAATTTGGGTTATGTGCTGTCCCACGAAGGTGCTTATTTGGTTTTTGTTGGGGGTTGTTCTTACGCTGATGGAGGGTTGGTTTCCCTGGCTTATGTAAGTGCATTCTCTTTGGAGGAATTGCCCAAGGGGCTGCTCCTACTAGTTGGTTAGTGCAGATTCTGGGTTTTTGTTTGATCTAGCGTTGGGCATCTGTCCTCTTTTGGTTGGGTGCTTGGCCTATTGCCTATGCTGGGTTGGTGGCTCTTTTTATCAGTTCAGTCGGTTGCTTGTCTGGACTCTTCGGTGCTGCTGCTTTGCTCTGCTTGTTGGCTGGTCAGGTTTTTTGCTGGTGGGATTGCCTTTTTCTCAGCTGAAGAGTTCTTTTTGCACAGTTGTTTCTTGGCTGCTTTGAGTTTGCATAGATTTTCGTTCGGGTTATGGGTGCTTCCAACATGAGTCTTTTTTTTCCTGGCCTTTATGCTTGTGCATTTTTGGTGGATAGGTATTTTGCAATTGTGAAGCTGGGTTTGGTTGGGGTTGCACTGTTACTCTGGTTTATTGCTTCTGTGGTGCTGGGTTTTTTTGGCTATTTTTGGTGGCTGTTGTTTTTGTACAACTTGAGCAGTTGATCTGTTTTCCGTAAGTCCTGCATTTTTTTTGTTGCTGGTCTTTTTGTATAGATCTTTTTTAGGCTAGTTAGGTGGCCGTTCTGGATTGCAAGTCTGTGCCTTTCCTCTGTTTTATTTTGCTTGGTTGCTTGGGCCTTTCCAAGGACCTAGACTCTGCAGGAGCCCTCTGTGTAACGTTAGGGTAGGGTAATGGTTTATGAAAGAACGGAAATGAATTTTTAACAAAATGTAAGAGACTTAATATTTTACAGTAAATGATCTTGAGCAATGTCCTCTTTGCGTTCCTTCTCATTCATCCACTACTCTTTCACATTCATCGAACTCTTTCTTCCAACAATTGCACCAACCCTCATAATGTAAACCTCATTCCATGTTCTTCTCACTAGCTACTTCTTCC